CTACAATGTCTACCCGAAGGCAATACCCTTAATTAAATACGCGAATGTGATGTGGTTTTCAAAATGTTTAACTATCCCAAAAATAAAACTCTAAAGAAACAAAATATATTTTTTACTTTTTTGGGCCCGACAAGGATTGACCTTGCTCCTACGTAGTTCTTTTGAAATTATTTGAGAAGTTTGTTTGCAAATTGTTTGAAAATTTTTTTTAAACTGATTTTGGATTTTTGGGAAGTGAACCTGACAAGAACTAGTCTTGCTCTTACGTATTTCCACTTTTGATGAAGAATCAAGGATCAATAGTTCTAGCTTAAAGATTGTTGTTTGAAAATGTAGATGTTTTTCGTTTTTAAATATTTTATATTTTTTGGTATTTTTAAGAAAAAGAAGGTAATGAGTACTATGCCGACATAGACGGTCACACGAATATTTGTACCTTTGGAATTTTACTAGGCTGATGTAGACGAGTACTTATACTGTTTTCCAATTTTCTTATTATTTTGGATGGTGAGTACCAGGCTGATGCGGACGATTGCACGAGTCCTCATATGATTGCTTGTTTTGTTATTTTTATATTTTATAATTTTTACTTTTCATCTTTTGTTTTTTATAATTTTTATTATATGGAAAAAATATATACACAAAAATAAGATTATAAAAATAATTGTACGTAATATAAATTAAGAGTAATATTCACCTAAGTATTTAAAATGAAATAAAATAATACTATTTGCATATATTTTTAAGAAAAATCTAAATTAGAAAATAAGTTAAAACAGCGTTTAATTATTAAAATATTAAATGTTAAAATAATTTAAAACTACTTTTTATAATTTTTGTTGTTGGTTGTGTAAACGAAGATGAAGAGTGGTGGGAATTCAAGTGAAGGTCTCTAGAAGAATCTCTCTTTCAATTGTTGGGCTTACTATAATATATATATATATTTGTATGATAGGCTTACTATAATATATATTTGTATGATGGGATTACTATAATAGATATTGGTATACTTGACATATATTTCAAGTCTTTCATGACATCATAGAAAGTGTACATTTTCTACATCACTCCCAATTATGATGCCATAATAACGGTTATAGTAATTCTTGTACATTTGACATGAAAAGTCCCTTGTACGCTTAACATCTCAATTATTGCATTAGATAACAATAAGAATCATAGTATTTCTTGTTTTGTTCTCAAGATGACCATATGATAAAAAAAATGATGAGCTCACGTGAATTTGTTGATTGCAAGGAGAACAATCAATCGAACATACATGTCTTTGAACATAAGAAAAGATAAGTAAGACAAAGAGGAGATATTATAACAAGATAAGAGAAAGGAAAAGAAGAGATTCTACAACAAATATTTTATCTTTCTATTTCATTTATTGCACTTATGCATCATTATGTCTCGTCTTAGCACTTACATATGAAGTCTAATTTTTTACTAGCACTCGCATTCAAGCCTAGCTTTCAACTGACACTCATATCGAGCCTAACTTTTGATTGACACCCACATACCTAGTCCAACTTTTGACTAGCTAGCACTTGTATAATGGGTCTAACATGGATTGAAACTCGCATAATAGACCTAGCTTCTTACTAGCAATATCATCAAGTCCAACTTCTAATTAAGACCTTCCAAGCTTTAAGTAACACATCTATAGTTTCATTGTGATCTTAGAATCTAAATGAAATTTATGTTTTTATCTTTATTTTTTATTACAAATATGAACAATTTTCATACTATATAGTGAAAAATTAAGTAAAGAGAAACAACTTTAAACATATAATTTTGTTAGAATAATTAAAATATTAGATTAACTAAAGTAAAATTAATTTAAAAAAAGAAAACACTAAAATAATAAATTTGAAAGACACTATAATATTTTAGGAGGGAAAGGAAATTATAATATATTACAAGGACAACTAAAATTATCTATTATATTCTATGTCTTTCAAAATTATTACAAAAAGATACGATGAGAAAATAAAATATATATTATTTTTATAATAAACTATGTTTTTGCATTATTAAAAAAAGACTTTAAATCTTTTTATCTTAAATTTATTTAAAAATAAAATATATGAATAAAACGTGTAAACTATCTTTACTTAGTATTAATACAAGATAAAGTAATGACATCCCAAAACATATATAATAAAGACGTCATTATGCATAATATAGGAAAGTAGTCAAGGGTAATTAGGATTACAATCATCCTCAAAATAGCTTTAGAATTTCAACTTTAATAAAAGAGGCCTAAACTGTAAACTTAAAGAAATGATCATAAGAGTAAGAAACCCCTAGGAAGCCTAAACTGCAGCATTGTCGTCTTCTTCCAAAGTTGTCTCCAAAGAAACCTCCTCGTCATCTGCTCCCATCCAAGTGGATGATCATCGCAAAAGGAATCATACACAAACAACACAAACAAGCAAGGGTGAGATAATTATATAAAAAGCATACAATATGACAATATGCATGCAAGAGTTAACTTCAATCAAACAGGGTAAGCACTCATCCTAACATGTTGAGTATTAAACTTGACTCGTCCGGACTTTAGAATGATAGTCAAGCTATGGCGGGTCTTGCACTCATGGTGGCTTATGAAACTTGGGTTCCCCCACCCTACCACACTCACGAGGTTAGTCTGTTATCACTCACCTTGGGCCATACTGGAAGCATCCAAGACTAGGACCTCCTGCTACTCCTCACCATATGGTTCAATCCTCTCTATGTGAGAAGAAAGACCATTGGAGTTTCAGGATGATCCTCAAGATTGAGCTCCTACTCTCATTCTAAACACTAAGAATCTCACTAAGAGATTCTACACAGATGGAACTTGGTTTACAACTTGGATCGTCTTTCCACCACTTTATAACCATACACTTTTTGTTACAATTCAAATACTTGTTTGAATATCACAATACAATACTATAGATGCAAAAGAATGCTTCCCCAACAACCAAAGAACATACTAACCAAACACAACACAAGAGAAGATTTAGAGAACCAGACCCAGTACTCGTTGCACAGCGCACCACCCTCGCAAGACGAAACTGGCGCTATTCGCATAGCGCACCCTCCCAACCCGCCTTGCGAATTAAGTCTGAATAAGTGTCAGATTTTGTGTCCCTCGAATAGCGCACCGAAGTCGCTATGCGAGAACCCAGACAGAAACAACCCCCTTAAAACTCTTGCCATGCGCCCCACTTGCCTTTCGAATTAAATAGGCAGTGGTTCCAGACCACCACCAGTCGCATAACGACACGATTCGCTAGGCGAATCCACAAACAAAGAGCAATACCCTCTGGTCATTCACACAACGCACTAGCTCGCACAACGAATGACTCAGACAGTAAGCACTCTCTACAAGGTCTCGCTATGCGAGACAACTCGCCTAGTGACTCTGCATAGTCTCCAGAACGCCCAATTCTGTAGATTATGCTCCCTTGCACCCTCTAGACCAATTCTAGTCCTCTTTCCCACTTTCTAAGTCCTATAGATCGTGATTATGTCCTAGTTAAGGTTGTCTAGGTGATTCCTAACATTCCTCTAATGATTTTCAAGTGATCAAAACACACTTTGCTCTGTAGAATATTTAAATGGTTTAATACATCATTTGGTCCCTACTTTTGGGGGTTTGGTTCAAAATGGTCCTACCTTATGAAAAAGTTCAATAAGGTCCCTACTTTTGTTTTAAAATGTTCAATTCGGTCCTTTTCGTGAACGTCGTTAAAAACATAACGGTGCTGATGTCACTATGGCCAAATCTGAGTGAGCTATTATGTTTGATGATTATGTGGCACTGTGAATTGAAGTAATTTGGGTGAAAATATTTTATGTTGAGGTTTTTGTGTGTAATAAAAGGGGTGATTAGGGTTCGTGCAAGTTGTTCCCCTTTTTTTGCCACAGTGGCTGTTGCTAGATAGAAATGGCTTCTTCTCAAGGTTGTTCTTCTTGTCCAAAACTGGGTGGGAAAGAAATTCGCAATCCGCAAATGATGGTGGTTGGAGGGGGAGGTGGGATAATCCCTCGTTGCAAATGTGGTGATTATGTTGTGAGCAAAGTGGCGAGAACTCCACAGAATGCTAGGAGACAATTTTGGGGATGTCGTCATTACAAGGTTTTTTAAATACCCTTGTCATTTTGGGGATGTCGTCATTACACCATTTTATTTGTTAATAGATTATTGAGTTATTCCCAATTTTAGTGGCTTATTTGGTGCATAACAGGGTGGATCTGCAAGAGGGATGTATTGTAACTTTTTCAAATGGTGTAATAAAGAAAATAATGATGAAAGAGATGGTGAAAATGTTAGCCAAAGGAGAAGGATATGTGAGCTGGAAATTTTAATCCAAAAGTTGTAGAAAAGGATAAAATTGTTACTTGGAGCTATGTGTGTTGCTATTGCGGTGAACACTGTGACAATGTGTGTTTGTTTAGGTTGATCTTCGTAGGTGGGTCAATGTTTATTTTGAGGTCTAGGTCATGTTTAGGTTGAAGTGTAGGTGAATGTTCATTTTCATGTAATGTGAAGGTGAAACTCAATGTTTAGTTTGAAGTGTAGGTGAATGTTCACGTTCATTTAATGTGAAAGTGAAAGTCAATGTAATGTGAACGTGTTCATGTGAAATGTTAATTTTAGTATCCGTTTTCATTTTAAAATGTCCAATGTGATCCCCTTTTGAATTTAAAACTGTAACTTCTGGTCCCAAATTGATATCAACGCATGTAACATCTCTGCCATAATATACTAACACAAGTCAACTTTCCTTAACTACATAATTACAGTGGACCAAGAAAGTACATAATAAAAGTTCATCACATGACAATCAAAGTAAGTCGTAAAATTTTATCACATCAGTAATGAATATACATAAGTAAATTAGTTCATCAAAAGACAAGTGCATCAACATACTACATAGTTCAGGAGGTTTTTATAACATCAAAATACATGCAAAGTGTTTGTAAGTGACATCTAAACGTTTCTTCTAAAATGTAACTTCTTCCTGAAGATTGATGGTGCTGAATGTGGAATGGACTCCTGAGTAGGTTGTGCTGGTTCTTGGGACTGGGGACATGTTTGCTGTGAGGCTAAAGGACATGTTGGTTGTGTGATGTCTGGACGTAAGGGGGCAATTCTTTCTGTTGTGTCCCACTTGACGGTAGATGGTACATTTCTTTCTATGGCCACCAACAATCATTTGGGTGACATCCTTTGTTAACTCCCACGCCTCCAACTTTCTCTTTTTCTTTGGCCTCCCAGGCAACTTTCGAAGAATTGGTGGCAAGACATCATCATAGCTTGTTCTTTCCCATAGCAATTTCCCATTGACAGGATAAATCATAGAGGCATACGTCTCTTCATATGTGGATCTTGTGAACCAGGAGGGTATGAAATTTTGGGGATCTTCATTGGAGTAGTTCATTGTTGCATTTGCATGACAACATGGGATGCCACTTATCATCCACTTCCTACAGCTACAGTGTTGACTCTTAAGGTCCACTGTGAACTTGTTTGTTATTACTGCAGTGTGTCTAACCTTAAACAACTTTCGTCCAGACCAGCTGACAACAATAAAGCACATTCCAATAAATGAACAATGGACATCAACATAAATCAGATTGGATATGATTATAAATAACAATTTTACCTTGGAATCCAATATCTAGACAAATTTGATTCTTTCATAAGCTTGTTCTTTATCTTTGGGCAGATAGTGAAATCCATAGACGCGACCTTGCTTCTATTGGTGACCCAACGTTTCATTAGATAAAGTCTTATCTCTTCCAGCATTGTGATTATTGGTTTTTCTCTCGCAAGCACAATAACACTGTTGAAAGCTTCAGAGATATTGTTGTCAAGGGAATCACATACAGCTTGAGTTGTGAATCGAGACCTTGACCAGTACCTGTTATGAATCTTTCTAAAAGTTGACCTTAAAATCACATTAGAGTCCTTAAAATCTGACCAGGAAACCTCTTTCTAAAATTTGCGTAGAGGTGCCTCATGTAGAATCTTTGGTCTGCCGTAGGCAAAAGTTCCTACACAACTGGCATCAACCCCTGTCCACATGAATAAATACATTAACGTTTAAAATATCATTTATAGTGAGTTCAATGTGTATAATAATGTAAGGAATAAATGTACCTTTTGTTGGTCAGACATCCATGTGCACCTACCACACACTTCTTTTCCGCCAAGGTTTTCTACCAATAACTGCAAAAACCAACCCCATGTGTCTTTGTTCTCTACTTCAACTACCGCATATGCAATCGGAAGCATTTGGTCATTTGGATCCCTTCCAATTGTAGTGAGCAACTCTACCTTATACTGCCCTTTCAAAAGACATCCATCTAAACAAATAATTGGCCTACAACTCACAAAGTTGTCCTTACAACCTTTCAATCAAACATAAAACCTTTCAAAAACTATCTCACCATCATCACTGTCAACCTTCAACTTAACTGTTGACCCATGATTAGACCTTAATAGTTCATGGGCATAGTCATATATTCTCCTAAACTGTTCTTTAAAATCTCCACTAAGTTGATTTGTTGCCATCAATTTTGCCCTTCGTGCTTTGGAGATGGAAACTTTGGTATTCCATTTACGTAATGTTTTATTACGTATGTCGTTTACCTTTAAATTTGGATTGTCTTGTATAGACCTATCTATTTCTTGACTCAACCACTTTGTATTCATAATTTTGATGTTGATTTGCCTACTGCAAGTATGTGTATCATTTATTTTCCTTAATTACCAAAATTGTCGTGTTGGCAAATAACTACAATAAGCTTTCCATGGACACTTACCTTGTCCACCCATGCATCTAACCCTCACCCTACGCTTATCATTTTTAACAAACTTCAAAGCCCTCTCAGTATGCACAACATAACTTCTAATTGCCTCCTTAAAGTCATCCTTGTATGTAATCCCTAGAACAACATAACTTCAAACCCCTAGCACTCTTCATCACTGTCCTCCAAAGCAATCCCAACCTCTTCTACCTCCTCCACGTATTCATCACCACTAAGATGATCCATATGTCCTTCATCCTCACTGTCCACTTCAACTTCAACCTCACTGTCCACTCCATCCTCACTGTGGACTTCAACTTCAACCTCA